AAGATGCTGGTATTTGGCCCACACTGGAAGGCTGAAGAGGTTGGAATCTTAAGTCACTGGGACGACTGCAGCAGCTGACAGGCTGATAGCCACATCCAACCAGGAAGAAGCTACAGAGGGCTGACAGGAACATACTGCTTTTCCTGAGACTTGCTTTCTTTCCAGTAGCCATTCTGTAGGATGACTTTGAGGGCAGGTATCTGCTGTCTCTTAGTTCTCTCTCTCTCTCTCTCCCTCCCTCCCTCCCTCCCTCCCCCCTCTCTCATCTCCTATCATTCAAAATGCTGTCATGTACACAATCAAGAAAAACCATCACTACCATTTGAATCAATCACATCTCCTGTGCAGCCTGATTTTTCAGGAAGTAAATCTATTTTTTCTCGAATATGCACCTTTTGTTGGAGTCTCCTGTATATAAAAAGGGCCATTCTCGTTCTGTATCCTCACATTCTCCTCTCCAATTCACAATCATATTAAAACTTCTTCGTTTTAACTAACACTACTGAGGTCCTATCATGTGGCAGGAACTGGGCTGCATAAATGTTCTGACTCCACTTTGCTCACTTTCAATATATAAAAGTTACTTCCATATTTACAAGATGGCAAGTATCAAAAAGCTAACATAATTAGGTCAGGAGATGCCACTTTTCTTGTTTTGTTTTTTCAGAACAGGATGTTTGAAGGTAATTGGTTCCGTAAGCTCATAGGGAGTGACACTATTAGGAGGTGTAGTCTTGTTGGAATAGATGTGGTCTTATTGGAGGAAGTGTGTCATGTGGAGGTGGGCTTTGAAGTCTCCTATGCTCAAGCCATGCCTAGTGTGACACAGTCTCTTTCTGCTGTCTGTGGTTCAAGATGTAGAACTCTCAGTTCCTTCTCTAGCACCATGTCTGCCTGCATGCCACTTTGATGATGTAAGAGTTGCCATGGTCATGGTATCTCTTCACAACAATAGAAACCCTAGCTAAGACAGAATCTGGTACCAGGGACTGGGGTATCACTGTGATCCGCATGACCATACTATTGTCTGAAAGAATGTGGACCTTGGGACTTTGGATTTAGAAAAATAGTTGAATGCTTTGCATACTGCTTAATGGGCCATACTAGTAGGAGCGTGGAAGACAGTGGTGTTGAATGCGATTTGCTGCACTGTAGGAGCCTGGCTCAAGAGGTTTCAGAGGAGAATTTTAGTGTGTTGCCTAGAGACTGGTCTTGTGATACAATGAACAATATGAACAATGTGACTGCTTTTTGCCCTTGTCCAAAGAGCCTACCTGAGGCTAAAGTGAATAGTTTTGGATTAATTCTGTTGCCAGAGGAAGTCTCAAAACAGCCTAATACTGACTCTTGTGTGGTTACTAGTGTTAACTCTAGTGAAGATTTATAATGAAAAGGAGCAAGCTGAGCAAGGAAAAATGCAAAATATTCAATTCTAGGAGAAAAGGGGCACCAGGAAGTGAAATGGAGCAAAGTCCTGTGTTCATGGATATAAACATTAAGAAATGAAATAAAAGGAGTGGTAAACTTAGGGCAAGATCCCACCCAGCTAAGTTTCCACTCTGTGAAAAGGAATTAAATAAAAAATTAGAGAAGGGTGTAATGGTGCACACCTTTAATCCCAGCAGGCAGAAGGCAGAGAGGCTGGTGGGTTTCTTTGAGGCCAGCCTTGTCTACAGAGCAAATTTCAGGATAGCCACGCTTAGGCAGTGAAGGAAACCATGGAAAACAGAAAGCTGGTGAAGATGTAATAAGCAGCAGAAGTTAGCAGCTTGGACCACATAGCTCTGGCTTTAAAGTCAAGGAGTGACTAAGGAAAGCCACTGAGACCAGACATGTGTTGGGTGTCTCTGAATGGAGGCCTAGAGAGGCCATTGAATGAAGCTGTGAAAGTGAAGCTTGGATTGCCTTGGAGACCCCAAGATGTTGGAGATGCCAGTGCCATGGGATACCTGCTGAGGAAAGCTGCTAATGGAGGGAGCAGGTACAAGAGAAAGAAGTATGTTGCAGTCAACAAAGCTGAACAGAGTTGGAGATCTGAAGAGCATTTTGACACCAGACATGGAGATGCAGTTCAGAGTTTACTAGGATGGTTTCCAGTCTTGCTTTAGTCCAGTATTTCCTCATATGCCCCCTTCCCTGCATTTTGGAATGGTAACGTATATTTTGTGTCATCATATGTTTGAAGCATGTGATCTGTATTTTTTATTTTGATTTATAGGGGATTACAGCAAAGAGATTGCATGAATCTCAGAAAACAAAGGTTTTCTCTGTGTAGCATTAGCTGTCCTAGAATTCTGTAGACCAGGCTGGCCTTGAACTCAGAGATCCACCTGTCTCTGCTTCCCAAGTATTGGGACTAAAGACATATATCCCCACCTCTTGCATATGAGACATAATTTTTAAGTTGAAAATACACAAAGCCAAGTAGCGCAATTGCAATTGCAGATTTAATGAGATAACATGTAAGAGATGCTATGTGCCCTAGAACTGCAAAAACAAAAGACAAAAACAAATGCTAGAAAATGCATGTGTATATGCATATGAAATGAAACAAGATATGTAACAGATTCATAAGGTCAACCATCTATTTAGCCCCCCTATTTGATATGGAAGTGTGCCTCAAGACACTATAATTGTTGCTGTACAGTCAGGAGTAGACTGCAGATCTCTAGCCTCTAATTTCTACTTGTTTAAGATACATACTTTCCTGAAGAATCACTTCTGGCTTAATCCTTGCATTTTCTTTATTTTTTTTTCACAACATTATTTTTCACTTAGACCATAGTGGATAAATGCAAGTGACTATTTCTTTGAAATTATGAGTTCTCAGTGTGGAACATGGGCTTTGTAGGGATGGAAGTTAATCATTGATTCCCTTTAAAATTGACCCTGGAGGGAAATTAAGCTGAATCTATATGTATCCAAACATAGTATCTGAAATTTCAACAAGTTCCAAATTCCTAATACTACGTTTTCTTTTCACTTTCACTTTGGGAAATAGACTTGGAAGGGTATCCAGAGAACATGACATTTTGGCTATTTTGCTGTTATAGAGCATATAACATGGGAGGAAAACAATGAGTATTCTTAAGAGTTTGGGTTTAAAAGAAAGGAAGTATGAGAAGTCAGACTTCTGTGCACAATGAGACTTTTTTATCCCACACCTGAGTACCCTGTACCTCTTACAGCAAAATTTGGCTTATCCCCACAGAAAATACTTGGAAGAAATATGACCTATAAATTTGTTAAAACTGGAGAAAATAGGTAACTATGGGCATAAGCCCATACATATAATGTCATCTTGACTAATTCATTTTTTCCCTCTTTGGATGACAGTATATGTTTTTTTCCCATCTCACTTAAATAGTGTCTTAGCTTTTAACATGCCAGCAATAAAAATCTAGCCTGTCCAAGATTTCTAATAATAGTTCATGTTGGAAAAATTACAAAAACATCCGGAAATTGCGTTCAGTTCAAAGAAGACAAGTTTAGAGGAACTGATACACACAGCACTATGTACATGTATACATAAAGTACATATACTTCAGGAAGTACCTGCTTTGGGAAATCTGAAAAATGTCAGATTTCAAAGACGACAAGCACCGAGAAAAAAATTCTGGCAAAGTAAGGAGTTGCCACAAGTCTTCTTGTTGGTATAAACAGGCTTAAGTGGAAAAGCAATAATATCCTAAAATAGATATTGTCCTTATATGTCACAGACACTTTTTTACCATTTTTATTAGCTTTAAGGAAATAAAGTTCTATGAGCCTATATTAAAGCAAAACGTACAGAATATGTGATAGATTACTTGCGGATGAGGAACACAAATAGCAGGTTTTAGGCTAGAAAACCCCATTTTGGTTGCCTCCAAAAGTCCTTAGTTTTTAACAAGAATCATAACGGACTGATTGAAACTACTGGACCTTATTGTCTATCCTACATCTGAAATGTTCCAGGGGTTCCTGACACCATCCTACATGAAGAGCAGAGCAAACGTAACTCAGTCGTAAGGCTGACATTGACAATGTGCGCACACACACACACAGTATAACGTGTGCAAAAATAATGAGGGTACACTGCAGTTGTCTGAGTTATACCAGCCGAGCCTTAAGAATTCTGAAAAATCCGTTGTTTCACATACTCGACAGTGTTATTGGACCGAGTAGTATCAGGTATACTAGTGCTCCCGAAACATATTAACGCTAACTATAAATCATTAGCCTGCCCTTGCCCGGAGTCCAGAAACCATCACCATGCAGTCGAAACACCTATTTTTAATTCGGAACTGGAGGCCTTATGACGTGAAGCAAACCTCTGCACCTTTCTTAATGTGTTTCGCTGTGCACGTGAAGACACATCCACAAGTTATTCCCAGGGGGTCAGGGGAGGAGGCGCGGCGGCTGGGAGCCGGGCGTCTCTGGGAGGGGCGCCGGGTAGCCCC